TTTTTTGAGTAAAATTATTCTGCAACAAGTTCCTACCAATCACAAACTTTCACAAGAAGTTAGATTACACAGAGAATTCATCTGAGAAGACACTTCTGTCAGAACCTGTACGCAAAGAGAGGAATGACTAAACATAAACTTTACCCTCCTTTACAGAGAGAATGATAAACCACTGTACTATCTTTCTTGTTCAATTTAATATGTATTGTCATAAAGATCACCTTCACAAGCAAAACCGCTCTCCTTTATTTTCCTATAGCAGGAAAGAGAACACACATGAAACATGACAGGAAGCTCTGTTGCTCCAAAGATATTGTAGGATTGGATGATACGAAAACCTTCACCAAACTTGGGACCAAGGCACCATTCACACCTGGATGTGCTGAAATGGAGAAACATCAAGTCAACATGTAATAAATTTCTACCAAAGTAAAAACAGTTTTCTCTTTGCAAGATCCAAAGTACTATAACATACAACCTTTCTCTTCGTTGAGCTTATCCTCTAGAAGTGGCACTTACAATCAAGTGAAAAATTATATGCTGCAGGGTGCTGTGGCCCATGCCTGTAGTCCCAGTGGCTTTGGAAGCTGAGGCAGGAGGATCACAAATTTGAAGCCAGCCTCAGCAACTTAGTGGGACCTTAGGGAATTTAGCAAAACCCTGTCTCAAAATTAAATAAATAAATAGGAGTGGGGATGTGGCTCAATGGTTAAGCACCCCTGGTAAGACAAAAAACTTAAATGTTAAAAAGTGCCAAACAATGAAGTATTCACATGTGTAACCCAATATTACTTTTCTTAAACAAAAGTATTAGGTGTAGTCTCTTAGACAACTCTCCATAATGATATATTTTGTTTTACTTCATTCTTACTAATAGCACATTTGATAGTTTGGGTAGACCACAATTTATTTTACCACTCTCTTTATGATGCACATTTAAGCTGCAGTTACCATCCCTGTAACAGACTTGTGTTCATGGGTAACTACTTCCATGAGGCCGAATCCTAAGATTTAAACTGCTGTTTTAAGGGGTAAGTAACAAACTGTCAAATTGCTGTCCAGCGGTTTACAGTTACCACCAACAGTAGCCAATAGTTCTGTCTTCAGGCATGGAAAGTCAACACAATATCAATCTTTTAAAAGTTGATAAGACAGGTAAGTAAAAAAAAGAAATCTATTGTTGCTATTTCACATTTTGGTTCCTTGATTACCATGAGGTTAACATTCCTCTTAGTTATCTGTTATCTGAATCATTCATGAATTAACTGCATATTCCTATTACTCACTTTTTTCTGGGTTATATCTTTACTAATTGATCTGTGGAAGATATACATGTTTCAACTTTTTATAAGCATTGACATATCTTATTTCAGTCGATGACTTGTTTTTTTCAATTTCATTGATGGTATTTTGTATTTGTGAAAATTTCTCTCTTGGATCCAATTCATAAACTTTGCTTTACTGTTTGCATTTCTGTGGTTTATTCAAGGTGTCTTTTCCTGTATGCCATGAAGATAAGTCTCCTGTACTTGCTTCTAAAAGCTTCAAGATTTTGGTTTTCATACTTAAATTTTTAACACTATTGGAAATGATCTTCATAAATGATCTTTGTGAATGGTGGTGACATATGCCTAGCAGAAATCTAATTTTAAATATTTTTTTCTCTGAAAATGAGCAAATGTCTCAGCAACATTTATTGAAAAGCCTCTCCCTCTGGATCCACGGTGCCATTTTGTCAAATATTGAGTTTTCACATATGCATGAAAACAAAATGACTGGGCTATGTTTTCTTCTTCCATTACTAAGTGTGTCCTTCCCTTTACCTAATACCAACCTGTTTTACTTTTTTTAACTTTTAATATAAAGTCTTGCAAGCCCTGTATGTTAGACTTCTTTTCCAGGTTTTCTCTGGCTACTTTGGATCCTTTGCTTTTCCATGTACATTTTAGAATCAGATCATCAAGTTCCTGAAAAAAATTGTATTAGGATTTGACCAAAAATGTATTGGATTTATAGCTGTATTTGGGAATATCTGCTATATTTTTTGTATTGAATATGTATCCCTCCCCTTACATTCAGACTTCTTTACTTTTTCATTGTTTAAATTGTTTTTCATAAATATCTTGCGCATATTTCACTTGATATATTCCTAGATACATTGTTTTTACTATCATAAAAATCTCTTTTAAAGATTTTCTTTCTATTTAATGTCTGCTTTTAACCATATCTCCTTTTAAGCCCATTACTATTATTATCATTTCATAGATATTATGTTTGCTTACTTGTTTTTAAATTTCTGTTTTCACTATTCCTTCTTACATTTTGGACTTTGTTTTTCTAGTTGTTTTCCTTCTTTCGGATGCATATCCTTAAGGAAAATCTATTGAGAGTAAATTCTCTGTTTTGTTTTCCTCCAAAAACACCATTCTTTGTCTTTCTTTTTTGAAAGGTAGTTTTGCCAGGCAGAATATAATATTTTTTCAGACACTGTTGTGCTGTTGCTGACAGTTCCTCAGCCATTACTGTGGTTTTCTTCCAGCTGATTTTGGTTTCTTGTCTTTGTCTTTGGTGTTCTTTATTTTCACTATGAGGTACCTTTCTGAGCCAGTGCAGAGCTGTCTGTGAATTTACACCTTTCATTACTTCTGAGACTTTGCAGCCATCATCTCATCCAGTGAGGACTCTGCTATTCTGTTCTCACTTTTTGGCTCTCAAAGTCTATGTTAACTCTTTTCCTTCTTTACTTCCTGTCTCTGTCTTAACTGTGATTTTTCTGCCTCTTTTTTCATGTAGCATAACCTATTGTTTAACTCATGCACCAAGTTGATTTGAAGTATTACATTTTTAGTTTCTAGAATTTAGTTTCAGTTAAAGTTTCTTTTCTATATTTTCTTGGCCATATTTGATAATCTCTTATTTATTAACTATGTTTAAAATTGTATTTTATTTCTTGAAACATTTACATATTCTGTAAATAATACTAATATCTTAGATTCTTGAAGATTAGTACATGTTAGTTGTTTCTTCTGGTTTTTATTTTTGATGGTTTGTAAATTTCTTTAAATTATGAGATAATATTCATTGAATTTAAATTCCTGGAATCTTTGCTGTATAAATCGAGAATGTCCAATACATTGGTGGTTCATTGCTCTGGAACCATGTAGGCCTTCTTTGGGTCTAGCTTTAATTTAGGAATCTCAAGTTCATGTTCCCAACCTTGTTGTGAATCTAAATCTTTACAAGTTGGGTTTTGCTTCTTTAAAACATTTTTCCCTTGGAGAATTTTAAAAATTTTTCTCATTTGCAATAAAATTTCATGTGCTTTGAAATTTCAGTATATTAAAATTGAAAACTTCTTGGCTTGGTCCTTTTTTTATAGATAGATCTTTAACTATTTTTTTTAACGTTTCTTTAATAGTTGCTGTGTTAGCTTTGCATCACTCTAACAAAATTCCTGAGTTATTCAATTTGTAAAAAGAGAAAAGTTTTGTTTTGACTCACAGTTTTGGAGGTGCCTATTCATAATCAATTGGTCCCATTGCTTTCAATCTGTGGTGAGGCAACACATCGTGATGGGAGCAAGTGGTGGAGTAAAATCACTCACCGAATGGCCAGGAAGCAAAGAGAAAGAAGATGGAACTGGACTCCAGAATCCCATCCAAAGGCATGTCTCCAATTACCTAGTCATCTCTTGGTGGGCCCTACCCTTTTAAGGTGCCACTACCTCTCAATGGAGGTACTATCTTCAGGACCACACCATTAACACATGGTCCTCTAGAACATTCAGGATCCAAACTATAGCATCTGCCTTTTGTTGAGTCAATACTTGTAATTTAGACATTCCAGGGAAACTTAGGCATACAATAGTATTTATTAAATCAACAGTGCTGATGATTAATACTTAAGTAAAAATGGTTTTATGCTATCTGAAGGAAATAATAAACAAGCTTAAGTGAGCTATAAGTATGTAGGGGTTTAAGAATTCTAGTCCTGAGATCAGGTAATGACTCTACAACTGGTCATAGATGCTGGAGGAGAGCAGTTGCTCTGTCCAGGTCTCTATCACAGTAGAGCAAACATTTTCCCTGGGTGGAGGAATTTTTTTTAAAAAATTACTATGTACACTTCTATGTACATAGTAACTCATAGAAAGGATTTATGTAACAGCTGTATAAATATACTTCAGCAATCCACTCTTTATATTGGATTTATATAATAACTTGAGAAAAATGGCACTAAATTCACACTGTATTATTATCCCTGAAAAGCTGAAAGGGGCAATTTGAAGAATTGTGTATATG